AGAGACTCATTCCCCGCTAATTATTTTTTACAGAGACAGCAGTTGACGTGGGCGAGGATTTCGTTAATTAGAGCGCACAAGTTGATAGTTCTTGGTGAGCCTCGCACTTGTTCGCGTGGGCGGAGATTTTATTTATTGTTATGGCCTTTATTTGAACTTTTAGAGTCTCTCTATAGTCAATATTTTGTATCATGAGTATTCTTTTGTTATTATAGTCTTATGTTGCATATCGTTATTTATTATCAAAGTTGGAGATAAATTAGTATTTCTGGTTGTTAGTGGGTTGATTAGTAATGGTGGAGACTTGTTTTGATTAATTGATAAGTTGTCAATTGTTTGGTTTGATATTAGGATGGTTGGTTGTTGATTTTGAGACAGGGAAAAATTTTGGATAGTCCAAAAACTGGGGAAACTCTGCCCGATTTTCTGTAAAATACCGATGAGGCTTACTTAGGAGCACTTGCTCCTAATCGCCGGTCACGATCCTAAATTGGGTCGTGACAAAGTTGGTATCAGAGCTTAGGATTTAAGTCCCGAGTCATGGAGCAATGTTTAGTAGAGTCTTATTCATGGGTATGTAGGCTCCCATACTTATGATCTTGAGGCTACTGAACATCTAGGAATGTTTTCCCTTCTTTCATCCTTTGATCGTGCATTGAGATAACTTAAGATTGACTTTGGAGTATTTCTTTCACAGATGGCTAGGACACGCACACCCTCATCTGCTGGATGTGGTGCTGGACGTGGTACTACCCGGGGTGGCAGTCAAGTTGGGGTTCATCAAACTAGAAGACAGACTGCTCCTCAACTTGAAGTTGGGAACATGGGTCAACCCCAAGCTGCTATGCCAGATCAAGTGCAAGGGCAGGGAGCTCAGGACGCTCCACCACCAGTGCCAACTGTTGTACCTACTGTTGCCTTACCTGCAGACGCAGTGGCAAGGTTATTAAATGTGTTAAAGGCATTGGTTCCTACTCATGGTAGAAGTTCAGCTCCTCAGGCTACTTTACAGACACAAGCACCTGTACAGACTCGGACTTTCGGGAATAAGGAAGTATCCCTACAACAGTTCCTGAAATTGAAATCACCAAAATACACAGGTTCTGATAATTCGGCAGATCCTCAAAGTTTCTTGGATGGGACACTCAGGGCATTACGTTCTCTAGGATGTTCTAGTGAGAGAGCGGTGGAGCTCACAGCATACAAACTAGAGGATATGTCTAACACATGGTATGAAACTGTATTGCTAGGAAGGCCAGCAGGAACAGCACCACTGATATGGGACGAATTCACTAAATTGTTCATGAATCATTTTCTTCCAGACAGCCTGATGCAAAACTATGCTAGAGACTTTGAGAGATTAGTTCAGACTCCAGATATGGATGTGTCAACATAAAACACCAAGTTTTGTAAGCTGGCTAGATATGCCCCTTACTTAGTGCCTACCGAAGAAGCTCGAGTTCAGAGGTTTGTTGATGGATCGGTTGGTCCTCTATACACTCCAATAGCCCCCCAGATGAAGACTTTATCCTACTCTGATACAGTCGACCTTGCTAGAAAGATTGAAACCAAGGGACGTGAGGAGCATGCAGCTAGTGATTTACGTAAGAAGGCCAAGACAGGAGGGTCTTTCAGTGGCGGTTTTAGTGAAATCGAATAGCAGGAAATCAGGGACAACAGCAACAGGGTTCTCAGACAGGGACACACTTGTCTTCATAGACCACATACAGACCACATTACAGACAGGGTACTAGGGGACCGTCAGCATATGGACATCATAATTCTGGGCAGATACATGCCACTACTCCAGTCTTCCAGACTTGTGGTAGATTGCATTTAGGCTAGTGTCGTGTTCTAACTGGAGAGTGATTTTGGTGTGGCTAGTTGGGAAATCAATTGAGGGATTTCCCTCAGCCTCTGAGAAATTTCAACCAGACTTCTATTCAGTCAGATGCACCTACTCAGACTACTCGTAATACTTCAGGTGCTACAGGTACAGGAAATAGAGGTCGACGTGCTGGAGACTGTGCTGCTGTGAATCAAGGACAAGGGAATGCTGGTAGCGGTCAGGCGAGAGTTTTTGTATTTACTAGACAGGATGTACAGGCCTCGAATGGTGTGGTTACAGGTATTCTTTCTGTTTGTTCATTTGATATATTTGCGTTGATTGATCCGGGATCTACTCATTCCTATGTGTCCTCGTACTTTGCTTTGAGGTTTAGTAGACCACTTGAGCTATTGAATGATCCTTTTCTAGTTGCTACTCCTGTTAGAGAGTCTCTATTAGCTGAATACGTGTATCATGCTTGTCAGATTCGGGTTGAAGGTAGAGATACTCTAGCTGATCTTATTGTACTTGATATGATTGACTTTGACATGCTGATGGGAATGGATTGGTTATCTTCTTGCTATGCTATCGTCGATTGTCATGCAAAGATAGTCAAGTTTGAGATACCAAACGAACCTAGTTTTGTTCTAAAAGGGGGTCAGGTTCCAGAGACTTGCAAAGTTGTATCTTTTATGAAGGCTCAACGACTTCTAAAGAAAGGTTGCTTGGTTCTCTTAGCTATTGTAAATGACACAAGAAAGGAAACAATTAGTGTAGAAGATGTTCCAGTAGTGAGAGAATTTTCTGATGTATTTCCTGAGGATTTACCAGGATTGCTTCTATTACGAGAAATAGATTTTGATATTGATTTGCCACCTGACACACAACCCATATCAATACAGACATATCGAAATGCACCGGCAGAGTTGAAGGAGCTAAAACAACAACTACAGGATTTGTTAGATAATGGTTTTATCAGACCGAGTATATCTCTATGGGGTGCACCAGTACTGTTTGTAAAGAAGAAAGACGAATTTCTGAGAATGTGCATTGACTGCAGGCAGTTGAACAAGATAACAATACGCAATAAATATCCTTTGCCTCGTATAGATGACATGTTTGATCAGTTACAAGGAGCTGCCCACTTTTCAAAGATTGACCTCCGTTCTGGTTATCATCATCTTAGAATCAAAGATGAAGATATTTCTAAGACTGTTTCAGAACTCGATACGGGCACTATGAGTTCCTTGTGATACCTTTCGGACTGACTAATGCTCCAGCTGCATTCATGGATTTAATGAATAGGGTGTTCAAGCCGTTTCTGGATAGATTTGTAATAGTATTTATTGATGATATCCTGATATATTCTCGTAGCCAAAGAGAACACGAGGATCATCTCAGGACTATATTGCAGATATTGCGAGAACATCGGCTTTATGCTAAGTTCTCGAAGTGTGAATTTTGGCTAGACTCAGTATCATTTCTTGGGCATGTGGTATCCAAAGATGGAATTATGGTAGATCCTAAGAAGACCGAAGCTATGCAGAAATGGCACAGACCTACTTCTCCTACAGAGATTCATAGCTTTTTAGGCTTAGCAGGCTATTACAGGCGTTTTGTGTAGGATTTCTCCAGAATAGCAGCGCCACTGACTAAGCTAACACAAAAAAATGTAAAGTTTCAGTGGATGGAGGAATATGAGCAGAGCTTTCAAAAACTCAAAACACGTTTGACAACTGCACCAATATTAGCCTTACCATCAGGTTCTGGAGAATTTACAGTATTCTGTGATGCTTCGAGGGTGGGATTAGGATGTGTTCTCATGCAAAATGGTCGTGTTATAGCTTATGCTTCGAGACAATTGAAAAAGCACGAGCAAAACTATCCTTCACATGATTTGGAGATGGATGCAGTGGTATTTGGTCTAAATATTTGGAGGCATTACCTATATGGAGAAACTTGTGAGATTTATACCGACCATAAAAGTCTGAAATATATCTTTCAGTAGAGAGATCTGAATCTTCGGCAATGCCGGTGGATGGAACTACTCAAAGACTATGAATGTTCTATTTTGTATCATCCTGGAAATGCCAATGTGGTGGCGGATGCATTGAGAAAACAATCTATGGGGAGTTTGGCACATATAGCTCCTGTAAAGAGACTTTTGGCCAAAGATATTCAGAGACTAGAAAATACAGGTATCAGATTTAGTGTCAGAAATTCAGAGGCATTGTTGGCTTGTGCTCAGGCTAAGTCTTCATTAGTTGAGCGCATTAAGGCCACCCAATATGAGGATGAGCGATTATGCAAATACAAAGATGAGGACTTAGTTGGTAAAAGCAAGGATATGATTGTTGAAAGTGATGGTGTGCTTCGAATGGGGGACAGGCTATGTGTAGCAGACGTAGATTAGTTGAGACATTCTATTCTTGAAGAAGCCCACAACTCTAAATACACCATACATCCTGGATCCACAAAAATGTACCAAGACCTGAAGCAATTCTATTGGTGGGTAGGTATGAAGAAAGATGTTGCTAACTTTGTTTCCAGTTGTTTGACTTGTCAGCAGGTCAAGTCTGAGCATCAGCGACCCGCAGGACTACTACAATAAATTGAGATTCCAGAGTGGAAATGGAAAAGAATTACTATGGATTTTGTCATCGGGCTACCACGAACCCTTAGTGGTTATGACTCTGTATGGGTGATTGTAAATCGACTGACGAAATCAGCACACTTTTTGCCGGTGAAGACTACATATGGCGGAGTGAGGTATGCACAGATATTTATGAACAAAATTGTCTGACTTCACGAAGTTCCAATATCTATCATCTCTGATAGAGGATCACAATTTACCTCACACTTTTGGAAATCTTTTCAAGAAGCATTGGGTACACGAGTTGATCTTAGCACTGCATTTCATCCACAGACAGACGGGCAGTCTGAACTTACTATACAGATCTTGGAGGATATGTTGAGAGCTTGCATTCTTGAGTTTGGAGGTAGTTGGGATGCTTATCTACCTTTAGCTGAATTTGCTTACAACAATAGCTTTCAGTCCAGTATTCAAATGGCACCATACGAAGCATTGTCTGATAGAAGATGTCGTTCTCCTATCGGATGGTTTGAAGCTGGTGAGACTAACTTATTGGGATCCGACCTAGTACAAGAAGCTATGGACAAGGTCCAGTTAATCAGACAGAGATTGCTTGCAGCTCAAAGTAGACAAAAGTCTTATGCTGATAAGAGAAGAAGAGATTTAGTGATCACAATTGGGGACAAAGTGTTCCTACGAGTCTCCTCTATGAAAGGTATGATGCGGTTTCAGAAAAGAGGCAAGTTGAGCCCTAGGTTTAAAGGACCGTATGAGATACGAGACCGAGTGGGAGCTGTGGCTTATCGTTTGGCACTTCCTCCTGAGTTGTCATTTATTCATCCAGTATTCGATTTCTCAATGCTAAGAAAGTGTATATCAGACTCATATCAGGTGATTGGAGCACCGACTATACCGCTCGATGAGAAGTTGTCTTACGAGGAGGAGCCGATGGCTATTGTTGATAGACAAGTAAGAAAACTACGGTCAAAAGAAATACTGTTTGTGAAAGTCTTATGGAGAAATCATTCTATTGAAGAAGCTACATGAGAAATAGAAGATACTATGCGAGTCAAGTATCCTCATTTATTTCAGTCTACAGGTACGTACCTGAGCTAAATTCAGAGACCAAATTTCATAATGTGGGGAGAATGTAATTTTCCTCATTACAAAAAACAAAGGAAGTAATTAAGTAATTTAAAAAAAAATAACTAATAAACAAAAAGGGGGGGGGGAGCAAATTAATAAAACAAAACAAATAAAAAAAAAGAATAAGTAAAGCAAAAGGGTCGAAGCCCATTTGCCAAAAGACAAGAAAGGGGAAAAGAGGGGTTGGCTGCTACGTCGAAGCAGAAGTTTCAGGAATGCCGAAAAAAAATTCAAAAGGAGAAGAAGAAGAAGAAGAAGGAGGAGGAGGAGGTTGGAACCAAACCTTGAGAAATTTTAAATACGCACTGGTTCTTAGGGTAATACTCGAATTTCTCATCTGGGTTCTTTTCTTGTGGTAATTCTTTTTGTCTTAGTTCATATATTTAAAAGGTTTCACAAGGTATAAGAAATTTAATACCAATAAGAGTTATTCTGGGCAAATTATGCAATTAGAAGTTGGTCAATGTTAATGTAGGATAAATTCACTTGGAAAAAGAAGGGTATTGATGTATTTGTACTTAAACTAGTTTCATTATATATGATCTTTGATAGGTATAAATTAAGTTAGGGTGCAATGATTAAGTTTTGGTGTTTAACTGTATTGCAATGACAATATCGAATTTAGGTTTGAATGTGGTAAGTCTAGTATTGAGTACAAAAGATAAGTACCAATTAAGAAGGAATATTATGAACGATAAGGTTATTTTAGTTTAAATGTATGCACACAATTAAGGAAATTGAGCAGTACAGGGAATAAACCATATAAATACCTTTTTATTTAAAAGATTTTGGACTAATTTAAATTACTCATAGCATGGGTAAATATAATTCGGCGAATTGATAATAAAATATAAAACTCAGAGGATTAGGTATTCTAAATTAGTGATGGATTTAGCCTAAATGAGGCAATTAACATGAGATCGATATTATGTAATTATAGATTGATTGGAAGAAGTTGTACGGATTGCTCGAGGTGAAGCATTTGATATTTCGGCACGAGTACTGTGAGTAGTAATCTTACCGCAATTTGTATTTTCATAACTTGCATGATTTACACTTGATTTTTAATATGAATATGTTACCGATTATTTTGAGCTGTATGTGGGACAAGTCTTTTACTCGATATGATACCGAAATAATAATTTGAGATGATTACCGTTGTTTTAAATATTTTTGTTGTCATTAGATATGTTTTACTGTTACTTGAATTTATTATTATCGAAATGAAATTACATGATTTGATAAGAACTGAAATGCCTTATATTATTTTAAATATTGTCCTATGAGTATATACGGATACAAAGACAAGTATAAATAGGTGTAGACTTTGAAGGATTCCGTAGCTAACGACGGGTTTGTTAGACCTGGTGCACCTTGTAAATACCGATTATCATTATAGCCCTCGCTAGTGGGAAGGTAGAACTAGCATACCGTTACCGATTTCCCTCGAGTAGGCACTACCGTTATATTTGATTTCTTGCGAAGAAGTTCACAGTTATACCGATTATATGATCCGTTCATTGAAACCTCCCAAATGTGAATATTGATATTATACAGTGGTTACCGAACTTATTACTGAATTGTTAATTGTATTATACTACAAGAAAAGCATGATGAGACTGAAAACTATTTATTGTTTCTGAAAAGGATATTTTTATGTTATTTTCTGTTTGAGATACTAGCATGTTTTTTGACTTGTCCCCAATAAAAACGGTTATGGTTAAGTGTTATTACTCACTATGCTAGCGACTCATTCCCCGCTAATTTCTTTTACAGAGACAGCAGTTGACGCGGGCGAGGATTTCGTTAATTAGAGCACACAAGTTGATAGTTCTTGGTGAGCCTCGTACTTATTCGCGTGGGCAGAGATTTTATTTATTGTTATAGTCTTTCTTTGAACTCTTAGAGTCGCTCCATAGTCAATATTTTGTGTCATGAGTATTCTTTTGTTATTATAGTTTTATGTTGAGTATTGTTCTTTATTATCAAAGTTGGAGATAAATTAGTATTTTTGATTGTTAGTGGGTTGATTAGTAATGGTGGAGATTTATTTTGGTTAATTGATAAGTTGTCGATTGTTTTGTTTGATATTAGGATGGTTGGTTGTTGATTTTGAGACAGGAAAAATTTTTGGATAGTCCAAAAAAGGGAAAACTCTGTCCGATTTTCTGTAAAATACCGATGAGGCTTACTTGGGAGCACTTGCTCCTAAGCGCTGGTCACGATCCTAAATTGGGTCGTGACACTCTCTTCTTTAACCGTTACACTTAAGTTATTCACTTAATCATTATGAAACTAAACTACATATTCAATTATTCACTATATATATATATATTTAATATAACTTTTTATAGGAATTTTGTATATACTATTGTATTAATTAAGGGGAAAAGGTAATATACATGGTATAACTCAATTCAATTATATTTTTATTGAAGTATAATATTATATATTCCTAGTATAATTCATTTTTGGAGGTATACTAATGTATTAATAGACATAGTATAATTCAATATATGTTATAATGATATTAAGGTATTATATTACATATATATAATATATTTTTAGAAATGCATGTATATAAATATTAATGTAAGAATATACCTTCTGTGACCTTTTTAAGAATATACCATTTAATGAGAAATACTATATATACTAAGATAATAATATACATTTGATCTTCTTAATAAGAAAGTACTCTTTGGTATAATCATGATATAAATTTACATGGTTTATTATGTATATATATCTCGAATATACAGTACATTTTTCTTGAAACATATGTATTTTATTTTTTCGAATATAAAGATGTATACTTTCGCTAGATAATGTTGTGTAAAAAGGTATGTGTACTTTTTCTAGTAAAACGATCCATGTATGGAACGTAGAAAATCTGTTATGGAATAAATTAGTTTCCAACAAAAAAACAATAGGAAAACATATTATCATTTAAATATGTTAGGGATTGGTTTCAAGAAAAAATATGGAAAGAAATATTAAAAAGTACTAGGAACGTTTTCATTAAGGAAATAAATACATTGGGTGCGTGATTATAGGTACATGGTTTAAAGGTGCCTGCTAAAAATATAATTATTTAGTTGTCATGTGTGTAAAATAGCTATTACTGCGATGTTTCTAGAAATTTTCCTTAAATTATGCCTATTTATGTTTTTTGCCCATATTTTTGAATTTTGCTGAAAGAACATGTTGATTTTCTGGTTTTGCAAAATAAAACGGAAGAAGTATTTACCAATAAAACTTTGATCACATATAATCCTTTGTCGAGTGTAACTCCTCTGAAACATTTCCCTACAAAGACAGTGGACAATGTTTTGAAACTGACAAAAAGAAAAAGTAGATATTTAACTTTAAGTCATAATGTTTTATAGGGTAAAATATGCTATGACACGTGTGTCTGTCACGACCCAAAATCCTAATCTGTCGTGATGACGCCTATCTAGATACTATGCAAGCTGACAACTTCAATAAACTATAATTTCTTTTATGTTTGAAAATATAATATTTAAACGCAATCCACAAGTCTCGCAAATAGCGATACAAACACTCCCAAAATCTGGTGTCACTGAGTACATGAGCATCTATACATTACAAGTCTGGAAAACATAGTTTATAATAATCTGAGACCAAATAAAATAATGTCACGGCCCAGTTTCCCCTTCGTGTGACGTCGTGACGGCACCTAATCTCTACAACTAGGTAAGCCTAATATTTTTGCGGAATAATAAAATAAAAATATAAGTTTAACCAACTATTCAAAAATACACAACAATCCCAAAATCCGGAACATCGTGAATCACAAACTACAGGAGAAAAATCTAATGTCTCTATACATTAGAGTCTATCAAAAGAAAATACAGAAAATAATGGATATGGGGAAGAGTAGAAGGGGACTCCGAGGTCTGCGGACGCAGCAGATATACCTTGAAATCTCCAAAGCTGTCCCGGCTCACTGATAGCGCGGCTAATAAGGTGCACCTGGATCTGCATACGAAAAACATGTGCAGAGAGTAGCATGAGTACACCACAATCGGTACCCAGTAAGTGCCAAGCCTAACCTCGGTTGAGTAGTGACGAAATCAGGTCAGGGCCCTACTGGCAAATATATATAATAAGAACAATATAGAGTGTAATACCGTAATAAAATAAAGGCTGAAATTTAACAACAATGAAATCATAGAAGGTAACAGCTCAGTACACAGAAAACACAATAGGGGATCTCCCGAGATACCGTCTCGTAGTCCCAAACGTAAATGTGCAGGGGGATCTCCCGGAATACCATTCCGTAGTCCCAAAGTAAATATGCAAGACATGGGGGATCTCCTGGAATACCGTTCCGTAGTCCCAAAGTAAATATGTTGTACAGGGGGATCTCCCGGAATATAGTTCCGTAGTCCCAAAGTAAATATGCAGCGCGAACGATAGAAATACAACTACATCACGAAATT